CTTTGGCCTAGGGAAAAAAAAAAAAAAAAAAAAAAAAAAAGCGTTCCCCTTCTGGAAAAGTTACCTTCCAAAAACACCAGTCTTCAAAGGTCCTGCAGCTCTTGTGCTGAAACAGCTGCAGCAATTCCCCCACCAGTGCAGGAATGAGCATGTACCAGTTTACACACATACTCCTGATGTGCCCTACAGCCCCAAACGTCCACTGCATGGCCTCAGCAATAGGCGAGCCTCACTCCCATTGCAACAGCCTAAAGCATGAATCACAACACTATTCTTCCTTGTCTTACAACTAAGATTTATTTAAAAGACACATATTTAGAGAAAAGACTTATGTTTTGTTGATCAGGCACTTCTGCATTACCCCTGATGCAAACGGTGTTGAAAAATGCTTTTGAGCCACAAGGAAGGAGCATCAGATACTTACTGAAAACAAATGACAGAGCAAAAAAGGCTATGTGATGGAGCAAGAGAAGAACAGCACTTCATCTGAGAGTTAAGGTATGACAAGCAGATTTCAAAGCGCCAGAGCCACAGCTTGGCAAGAATGTGTAGGTTCTTAAGTCATTTTGGTCTCACTTTTAGTGGTCATGAAAGTTTTTCAGAGAAACAGACTGGGAAGCAGAGAGAGAGCTAGAAAAGCAGTCAGCTTTTCAATACTCCTGGGTTAGCAGACTGGAAAAAAAAAAAGGAAACAGAAACCATCCTTAGTATACAGGGAAGTCATAGATCTCCCAGTGCATATCCTTATGAACAGAAAATTCTAGGCTATGCCTAGAGGCTGATAACTGATTGCATGAGCTCTAACAGCAGAGATGCAAGATATACATGTACAGCTTTTGACCATGTATATATATTAAGGGTAAATTACCAAGGGAAAAGTCCCAATGAATTTCTAAGAAAATCACTTCACACTAAGGAGAACCAGACTGGCAACAGATTTTCTTTGAGGTGGTAGGACATTGCCTGCCTGCAGTGAGGAAACTAAGAGCAGCAGCTGAAGACAAGCGTAATTCTCCCCAAGTTTTCATTTGCTTCTGACATCCAGAAGTTAAATTCTGAATGCATTTATACTAGCTCAACAGCAATATGACCTAAAGCAATTTTACTTCATATGGGAATACACAGCCAGATCTATCATGCATATAGACAAACGCTCATCTATCCAGTATATGCTTCTGCACTGCAAACATGGCACGTGGCTGCGGAACATTTCCATCAGCACAGATGTCAGTATTGGCTGTCAGCTCAAACCACCCTGTATCAGGAGACTGATAACCATATCTCTTTATCCAGATAAGGGTTAGGGCAGGGTTATCCAAAAGATACTGTTCCACTTCATTGACCTTTGCAGTTCTCCCCAGGTGAGCCTTCCACAGTGACCTGCCTAATCTCACAGCAAGGGCAGGTAGAACAAAACATATCCAAAGCGCTGCCTTGGGTCCCCCAGAGTTAACATGGACAACATGGTTAAGGCCTTCCCGGGATACAGCACTTGTCAGAGAGTTGGCTGGCAGTCACCTGCTAGAAACAGTGGGTGGGTGCAAGGCTGTGCCAGTGCCATACCTCACCCTGGCAAAGCACTTCAATCATCCACGTCTCATCTCATTCCTCCATACTCCATGTTTACAGCCTAATGAGCTTTTAAGGCAGTTCCATAGTTTCAGAGCAAGTACGTGACACGGACAACGCTGTGGACATTTTCAAGGCTCCTGTTGCAGCAAGTCTTGGCAACCGCCTTGAAACCACCTTGAACCATCTTCACATCATCTTAACATGAATAAATCTATGACTCAGTGCAGAGAAAGTGGGCATGTGCAACGGAGAGTTCAGACCAAAAAAGCCCCCTGGCTCCTGACCAGTCTCCTGCCAACAGCTCTGAGCTCCTGAGTCCTCCACTGCTGTAGGTCCAAGCTCTGCTCAGTCTCTCCTCTCTGACCCCCAGCCAAGGAGACCAAACCCTTGTAAAGCACCTTGGTTTGGCAGCACCTGCCGCCTCTGGGCAGACACAATGGCAGTGCAAGGTTGATCACTTCAGACATCTGCTCCGCCGTAATCTCCAATATTGACACAAAGTCTCCAGTGGTAAAGAGAATTTCTAAGAAAAGTCATCTAATCTTGTTCTTCCACTGCTCAGGCAACATCACAAAATGGCAGAGCATGATAATGCTTGGGTCTCCAAACGAAGTCTTGAAGTCTATTGTATTGGTATCTCAATTTCTATGATACTTATCTTTACCAACTTGCGCAGTGTTTGGGCATCTTTGTTGACACAAGACTTGCATGAAATGAGAGCACCATATAAAATGAGAAACAGCCTGCAGCAGATCAGTTCTGGTCAAAGATGGCCAAGCTCATTCTGCTTACCGGTAAGTCCTGCTTCAAAACTTCTTCTCTGCCTTTATGACAAGTATAATGACTCTCTCACTCTTACACCAGGTGATAGAAGAGAGGTTCTATCGCATTCAAGATGTTGCACACTCCTTTCAAAGGGAAAAAATAGAAGAGTAGCTTTCGGGATGGATAGTTAGAGTTTTCAGTACCGCTGAGAAGATACTTTATGCACTGAAAATCAATATGGTTCATTGTTATTTGAAATTGGTATTTTCTTTCTGTACAAAACAAAGGAAAAAAACACAAAATCTCAAAATTCTCAATGTGAGCTATCCAGCTTCTTTTCTATTCTTCTACATGAAATTGTTCCACAAATTATACCCATTTCCAAATGAACACTCAGCAGACCTGTCCTGAACAATCTATGTTCCTGTATATTATTCATGGAAACAAAATGATCGCAAATTCAATTTCATATTTTAATGGCACATGACCTCTTTACCACAGTTCACCCTTTCCTCAAAGTGACCAGCAACCTGGGGTACAAGTTACATTAGGGTCAGCCCAGTTCTGCCTTGCATTTCTCACTTCAAGGACTAATCCTACATTTTTTTCTTCAAAGGTCTGGCCCTCCTGCTGAACGCCCAGATAGGTACGTGCTTTCTGCCCAAAACAGCTCGACAAAATGTTTTTCAGCATTTGCAGCAATCTGGAATGGGCTCACCAGCTAACTCTTTTACAAGACAGGGAGGACTCAAAGGCTGCTTAGCACTCAGTAGTTGTGTCTCTGCAGACAGCACTTCAACGAAGCATGGCGTGCACGAAGTGCAAATATGCTGCTGGCTTTCATACAGGTTTCCCCTTAGTCCCTTCCTGCTCAGCTTTAATGAAGTCTGAGTGCAGCCGCTCTGCGGCTATGCAGAAAGGCTATGATTGACTTTCACAGACAGGTGAAGAAAGCAGTAGAGCAGATACAAAAACAACCTTCCTCATTCTGAGTGCCTCACAGGAGATCCATTCTGCCTCTGTTCTTCCTCAGCTGGCAGGAAGGGAGAAAGACTCAGTTTAGGGAAGAGACTCAGCAGCCATAACAACCCTGATTAATCGGTTACAATATGCAAGAGGCTCCTAGGTGGATTTGTTTATGGAAATAAAGAAAGAAGGAAATAAATCAATTATGATTTTGCTGAGACGGCTCACAAACAACCAGTCTCATTTCACTTTCACTGAACTCTTCTCTGCAAGGAAGTATTGTCCAATCATTTCAGATCAGATTTCATGTAGGTAGCAAGCCAGTGCTGAATTACTGAGTGGTAGGAAGGATGGTAATAAGAAATAACATGGCCTCATGCAGCTACTTACATGGACAGCATGCATGTCCAACAGCATTTCAAACACATTCTCTCTGTTTTCTTCTCTCACTATCCATTTCTATTTCCCTGCAGGCACTGCCTATGTGCTGTCATGCTATTTCACCAACTGGGCTCAATACAGGCCTGGCGTGGGAAGTTTCATGCCTGATAACATTGACCCATGCCTGTGCACTCATCTGCTATACGCCTTCGCTGGGATGTCCAACAATGAGATCACAACCATTGAATGGAATGATGAGACCCTCTACAAATCCTTCAATGGGCTGAAAAATCAGTATGTACTGACAGCATCAGGCATCATTTAATCACTTGTTCAGGACCTGCCCATTACACAGCAGCCATTCCCTGCATGAGCAGTGGGGTGCTGAGAAGAATGGGAGACAGCGATGAGCAGCGAAGGCTGGCCAGGCTGCCAGCATTGATTCTCTGGGAATGAGGAACATCAGTCACTGTGCTCCTGACTTGCGCCTTAATGTGACTTCACACAGTCTACAAATGCACCTGCAACAGCCACTGTCCAAAAAACCGGGAGCTTCGTGTTGGTCTTTTGTCTGAATTTAGAAACAGCAATACTAAACCATTCTTTGCAGTGAAACATGTTCATGTCCCTCCCTTTGCAGGAATAAAAACCTGAAGACTCTGCTTTCTATTGGAGGTTGGAATTTTGGGACAGCCAAGTAAGTTCAAACCACTTCTTTCCCTGAGATAGAGGAAATATAAAAAGAGGCACCAATCAAGCCCCAACTCCTCTGTTTCCCTAGGTTCTCCACAATGGTTTCCACTCCTGAGAACCGCCAGACCTTCATCAACTCCGTCATCAAATTCCTGCGCCAGTACCAATTTGATGGGCTGGACATTGACTGGGAATACCCTGGATCAAGGGGCAGCCCTTCTCAGGACAAAGGTCTCTTCACCGTCCTTGTTCAGGTAAGACACAACAAAAGGCTTTGATCAGGCCCCCTCATCTGCACTGCTCTGACCACAGCCCCAGTGGGGCTCACGCTGAGCCGTTTGTTGTCATCCTGCAGGAAATGCTGGCTGCCTTTGAGCAGGAAGCCAAGCAGGTGAACAAGCCCCGTCTCATGATCACTGCTGCCGTTGCTGCAGGAGTTTCCAACATTCAGGCTGGCTACCAGATTGCTGAGCTCGGAAAGTGAGTAGCAATCTCTCTGGTATGCTTTCTAGAACTTCCTTCAAGAGATTTCTTCCAGCACTCTTCCTGCCAGTATTGGGCACGGCCCATCCTGGGCATCCTGAGCCTGAGCAGCCGCCACGCTGTTGTACAGGGCAAGAAGCCATGCAGGCAGTGCATGTTTGGTGCAGAAATGGATACCTGAGGGAGGAAAGGGTAACAGCAGGTGGGCTGCAGCCACTCCAAGCCATCAGAGAACATCTCTCAGTTCCCATAACTTCAGCACAAATCTCACCCTGCATTGTCCTCTGCCTCCCTCCTCTGCAGGAGGAACTTGTCTCAGCCCTTGGAAGGCTTGCTCAAAGGAAGTCTCAAAGAAACCTGATTTGGAGAAAGTGTGGGCACAGCCAGAGTTGTTGTGGGTTAAATGGCCAGGTCTGAAGGAACTGTTGGTTCTGGGTGATGGAATTGGCCAGGGTGCAGACACAGGCACCTTTCTCCGCAGGTACTTGGACTACTTTCATGTGATGACTTATGATTTCCATGGCTCCTGGGATACACAAACTGGGGAGAACAGCCCTCTCTACCAAGGCCCAAATGACACTGGTGACAATATCTATTTCAATGTTGTAAGTTTATTTTAGGAGCCTGTGTAAGAAATGTTAGCACTATGATCAGAGCAGTGATGATAATGCAAGAATTCACCATCCTGTCTACCAGACCTTGCACAGACTGTAATTCTGGGGTTTTTTTTGTTTGTTTATTTTGTTTTGTTTTGTTTTTGTTTTGTTTTGTTTTTAATAGGATTATGCTATGAATTACTGGAAAAGCAATGGTGCCCCAGCTGAGAAACTAGTTGTTGGATTCCCAGCCTATGGAAACACCTTCAGACTGCAAAACCCATCTAATCACGGTCTTGGTGCACCAACTTCAGGACCAGGACCTGCTGGACCTTACACACAGGAGGCTGGGACGCTGGCTTACTATGAGGTGTGTATAATATTTTTTTGACATTTCTTCAAATAATTTCGCAAAAAGGATTCATGGAACTTTCTGAATGGCTGCTGCATACAGCATGATACTCAACAACATTCCTCCTTCTCCCTTTCTCTCCAGATCTGCACACTACTGAATTCTGGAGGCACACAAGTTTGGGATGCTCCCCAGGATGTGCCCTATGCCTACAAGAGCAGTGAATGGGTTGGCTACGACAACATCAAGAGCTTCAACATCAAGGTACAGTGGGTGGGAAGTGCAGCTGTACTAAGGGCACTGCAGGAGCCCTTCTGCAGTAGCACGTCTTGGGACTAACAGGCCTTTCTCCCCTGGCATTACACAGGCTGAATGGTTGAAGAAGAACAACTACGCAGGTGCTATGGTTTGGGCCATTGATCTGGATGACTTCACTGGCACTTTCTGTAAACAGGGCAGATATCCCCTGATTACCACCCTGAAGAATGCACTTGGTCTTCAAAGCAACAGTAAGTAGCAGGGCTTACTTGCAGGGGATCCCCTAGTTTGTTATTGGTGCAGAGCTTCAGAAGCCCATGAACTTTCACTTCTAAGGCTTTGGTGGACACACTTCCTTTGTGGAAGCCACAGCAAGAGTCACACTTTCTGGAACTTGCAACTCGGTCCAGATTTTTCAAAGGCCAACTGTGAATCCAGCCAGACTTTGAGAGGGACAAAGTTTAATAGCTCTTCTGCTGATGCCAACAGCGGAAAAGGGGAGCTGAGAAACTGTTCACAATAAAATAAACTTTTTCCTGCTCTTCTTTCAGGCTGTGTGCCCCCAACTCAGCCCAGTCCTACCACCACTGCAGTCCTCTGTAATACACAAGGAAGTGAAAGTGGGAGTGAGAGTGAGAGCTCAGGTAGCAATACCGGTAGCTCAGGTGGGAGTGGATTCTGTGCTGGTAAGGCCGATGGCATCTACGCAGATCCAACCAACAAGAGCAAATTCTACAACTGCAATAATGGCGAAACCTTCACGCAGACGTGCCAGGCCGGTCTCGTCTTTGATTCCAGCTGCTCCTGCTGCAACTGGGCATGATGACACCAATTCTGTTACGGCAAGCACACTCCTCTGATTTAATTCCATGGAATAATAATGATAAATAAAGTGTTCTGCAAAAGTAAAAATGCATGCTGTTTTGACTCATCTTGCTCGTAATATTTTGATGCTCCCTGGTTCTCACAGTTTTTACACTTATGCTGAGGGATGGGCGCAAATCCCAAAGGTGGACTTAATTCCAGCATCTCTTTTTCCAGGAATTTCTTGCTTATCACATCATGATAGCCAGACACAGGGAAAAAGACAGGCAGCAGATGACATGGGAGATTGCTATGCCTGAGAACACACAGTGAAGGGTCCTGGCAGCATACTCTATAGACTGCTTTGCCAGAATCCTCTCCACCACTAAATGTCACAGTGCAAATTGCAACTCCTGGGAGTGAGCGTAAGCACAGTGTGATCCTTGGGGCTTTTATCAAAGCTGCTCCTTTTCCTGCACAGTTTAGGAGCTCCTATTGCCAGAATTTCCTCCAGCACCCCTCCCCGTATCTATAGCAACTGCAGTACACAGACTTCCCTAAGTGCCTGATCTGACAGCATGTTTGCAGAGTGGCAGCCCAGAGGTGAGCTCTGTGAGGTGTGCACACCAAGGGGGCTACAAGCATGGGCTCTGCATCTCCAACAGCATCAGGATTCCCTAGCAGTCATTCCTGTGACTGGGCTGCTATGCACCTCCTTGCCCAGGTTGGGGAAAAAGAAGTCTGTGGCAGCAGGGAATAGTCATTCAAAGAGCAGGCCCTTCCAGGATATCCAGGAGCAGCTGAGAGATAAGGCTCACCTCAGGAAGCAGCAGACACCTGAGGAGTAAGAGGAGCAGCAAGTGGTCAAATCCATGTGAGTGAATCACACTGATCACATTTCCCTCTCCTGGTTTCACAGATGTGAGGAAACAAATTTGGTTTGGGTCACACCAAGATAAAAAAATGTTCCCTCTCCACCATGCTCCAAACGAGATGGGAATCCAGCTAGCAGCCATCAGGGGAAAACGCTTCCTAGGGCCAGGCTGTTACTTACAGAAGGTAAGTTTGTTTTTTATTCTCAGAGCTTTTCTTTCACAAAAAACATACACTATAGGAGTAGTAGTAAGGAATAAGTAATAAGGAACAGGTAATAAGACCATGGCCAGCCAGACACAGTGTACTCCATGCCTGCCCTGTAAAGCCATTGTATAAATCTGCATAGATACCTAAAAAATAAATTTATCTCCTAGAAAAGCTACCTTCTAAATTTACCAGTCCTCAAAACTCCAGCTGTCCTAATACTCTAAATTAGTGAGAGATTAAAGGAATGATGTCTGCTGCTCAGGTACTTCTCCTATTCAATTGATGCAAACAATGCTTCTGCTTTTTAACCACAGGAAAGTAGCTTCAGATACTCCTTTGGAACAAAACCACTGAGCGTGAAAGGTTATGTGATAGGAGCCCGAACGGCCCAGCGATTCATACCAGAGCCACGGGTAAGAAAAGGATGCTTCAGAGAAGCAGTGCCGCAGCTTTGACAGAATTTGTAGGCTGATCCTACCATAGACTGTAAGTTGTGAACACATGCTGGGCCTGCCTCAAGCTTAAAGTAATGGTGGTCATAGATCTCCCCATGCATAGCTTTGTCGCAAGCACTGAGGCTAGAAATCAATCACCAATCATGGGCGCTCTGGAAACACTGATGCATACACACATATCCCTTTGTATCTCTCTCACGCACACCTAGATGTACTGAGGCAAAATCAGGAAGGGAGCTCAAGTTGTGCTAACTGAACAAAACTAGTTTACTGGCCCAGCTTCTGAAGATTAACACTGTATTAGGAGAGATGTCACAGGATACCCTGGGTAAATAGCAGGGAGCTCAGATTTGATTTGTTCTGCTCTTTTTGTGCTATCAGGATAGCCAAGGCATGCATTGAACAGCAGGTCTGCAATGCCTAGCCAGCTGGCATTAAATGCTCTGACTAAAAGCATTCTGAAATGGCTTGCAGAACAAAATCTTCTGTACTGATTTTTTTTCTCTTGCAGACTGTGACTCCCGGACCAGGAACATACCAGCCACTCTGGAATAAAGAGAGAAAACGCCAGCTTAACTGTGCTCCATTTTCCTCTAAGACACCACGATTTCCTGATAAACCTCCAAATAAAGAACTTTTCCCCGGGTAATATAACTCATTTTCTTACTCTTCTAGTAACAAGTAGGAGTACTAGAGACAGAAATGGAAGATATGTAACTGAGTTCCCAGTAATGCTTTGTTTCTTTTCTTTTTTTTTAATTATCTTCAAAAGGCTCCTTAGCTTTAGTCTTCAACCTAACATGATGACTAGAAGACCATAAAATGCATTTTTCCCATAGGTCAAAGCAGGTCTGATTAATTCTCATATTGCAAACATCATACACCAGATCTAGCAATGAGATATTTTGTTTCTGTTCTCTTTAGACCTGGAACTTATGATGCAGAGAAGCGATTACACAAAAAGATCACTTGGCCAATGAAGTTTGGGTCTCCAGATTGGTCTTTAGTGCCAATGCCAGCGAAGAGGATGCTAAAAACGGAAGTTCAGAAGGTATGGACAGGGATGAGGGGATGCTATTCCCAGCTTAATACTTCTCACAGAGGAAATCAGATGATTACTTAAGCACTACCTTTTGTCATCCTTTCCTCTCCGGTCTGCTGGGTGTGTAGCTGTACCAGCTTAAGGAGCGAGACACAAAGTGAGCTGCTGTCAGAAAATGCCAGTTTGCAAAATCAGCCACAGTCCTTCAAAAACACTTTGACTGGGGAGTTTGCTCTAGAAGTAAGCTTCCATCACAAAATGAGAGGACTGGAGTACAGATTTCTTTCTCTGCACAGCTCCGCCGGAAAAACTTTCCAGTTTGAAACACTGAGAGTCAGGAAAACCACCTGGTAAACCAGCCTGCAGTGCTCAACACCACCTTGTGTCTTCCTGTGCTCTCTTTTCTTTCAGCTGATTATGGACAGAGAATTCAGGAAGCATCGGAACCGTGTGGCCTACCTGAGTTTATATGAGAACTGATAGCATGTTGCATCCCTGTGCAGCAGAGCCTGCCCATAGACATGTCTGCCTGCAATACTCTGCCTCCTCAAATAAAACCTGTTCAAAGCGGCATTTCTTTGATTAGTTTTGATTACCTGATCTGGTACCTGGTTCTCTCCTGGCTCTGCAGGTGTTTGGTGTCGTCGGGGCCAGCGTTTAGCACTGCTTCCCTCAGCTCCTGGTCCAGGCATGGGGGCGGCCATCTTGGGCAGATTGCCATGGAGACACTTCATGGCACTGCGCTGCCCAGCGTGGGTTCCCGCGCCACAGGGGGCTTTACCCCCATATCCAGCCCTTGATGGCATCAGAAAGGAACACAATTAACTCCTCTCCACCACTACGTGCCGTCCTCAGCTTCCTCACCACCTCAGGGTTTCCTCTTCCACTGATCACCTTCCAGCAGAAGAACGCACCGCAGTCAGAGGAGAGCTGTGCAGAAGAAGCGTAATGGCTTTGTGCACAGCCAGCTGTGTTAACCTCACAGTCTGCAAACATCCTGGGCATGGAGTGCTGGGAACGGCCAGACCAGATGGCCATGTCTGTGCCTGACCACAACTGTCCCTATGCACATAAAGAGCTGCTCTGAATCTATGAGCAACCTGTGAGGCCACAAAAATAAACCTAGTATGAAACAGAGAGGTTCTGGTGTTTGCCTTCAGGTGCTTCTGTAAGGCGCAGCTCAGACTGTAGAGACTTCTATAAATATTTACAACCTGCCTGCACACATGGTGATCAGATCTCAGGGGAAAACTAGGAACTCACAATATTTGTACTTGAAATAACTGCCAACCACAATGCAAGCTTTCGCATTCTCTGGGTCTACTTAGCTGTGACTGCAGCAGTTTCACCTGCAGCCCAGTTTTGTCTATAAAAACGAGATATATTCTTCCAGTTTCCCACTTTCAGGCTTCAAGTGCTCTCACACATGCAGTGCAGCTGCTCACAGCCTTTATTCTCAGTGCACAACCCTCCCAGCCACACAAGCAGCTTTGTAGCTGCAGCAGCCAGAACGGGATGCTGTTGCTGACTCTCAGTTGCCTCTTTCGATGAAAACTCTTCAAGGAGGGGGTGTTATTCCCTGCACATTTACTGTTGTAAGACCTGTTTTTAATGTCTCTGCTTCCAGCTCCATCATTGCATTCGTGACTGACACTGCATACTTTTCATCTTTCTTGAGCTTCTTATAAGGAAAAAAACATGACAGAAAGGTGTAGAACCACCTCAAGAACACCAAGGATTCTGCAGTCTTTTTCAACCACATGTTCCACTTGTGACAGAGAAAAATCTTCTTATAAAGGGAGGTACTTTGTCATCACTGAACACACAGTGTTAGAAAATACCCAACCTCCTCAGCAATCAAACATCATTGCTAAGAAAGGAAGAGACACAACAGGAAGAATAAAGCCTCCTACGAGTTGGTGAGAACTTCACCAGACCCCAGTGAGCACACATTCAGGCTCCATTCAGGTGTTTTCTTTCCACTCTTTCTGAAATGTTAAGAACTCAGTCATTTTTGCTTGTAGAAGATAAAATTTATTTTATTATGAACATAAAAGATACTATTTTCATTCCAGATTTTCCCCTATCCAGAAAGGGATATTTTCATTATGAAAAACACCTAATCCAAGGTAGAAAAAAAAAAGATATATTTTTAATATACATATATATATATACATAATGTCTGTACATTTGATTTTCTGTACAACCAAGGCACCAGCAAAAGTGGCAATGGCACATGCAGGACTTTTTTTTTGCTAAAGATGCAATTTCAAATAGTTTGTCAGGAATACTTCCAATCTTCCTGAAATAATTCCTCCTCATCTTCCTCCTCTCTGGGTGATGAGGAAAGAGGGGCACCTTCACTGAACAGAAGAGAACAGCACACACATAACTCTGTTCCCTCTGACTGCAACTGACTGTGCACTCAGGTACTGCTCTGGGAAGCAGTAAGTTGACAGTCTCAAGCAAGCAGTCTTTGCTGCCTCTCAGCACCAAATTCTCAGCTAAAAGAGGTGCAGTTTTGACTACTGCTTAAAAGCAATTTTCCCTTCAGAACTTACCTGCATGAATGAGAAAAAGCTGATGTAGTATGAACTACAGAATTCAGGCATTAATATCATGCCTGGGAGACTGTACCAAACAATAGGAGTATTTTGTTACAGGAATTTTGTGCATATTTTCCCTAAGTAAAGACAGAATGAAATGTAAAGGAAAGACCTCTAAAACTGGATAACAATTACAGCAATCCCACCAGCAGTCATTTTCACAGCTGAAATAAAGGTCCTTCTCTAAGGAAAAAAAAAGGAACAACAACAACAACAAAAAGCAAGAAAAAAAAAGCAACTTCTGTT